TGCTAGGCTCCACGGTGCAGAGCTCCGGATGCTCTGGGTGAGCGAGCCACCAAAATAGAAATCGTAAGTACGTCTTATAAAAGTTGCGTTCGAAGACGGAAAGAGGTGGGCGGTGGATCAGGCCGCCACGCTCCTCTGGTTCTCACACAGGGTTTCTCTTACCCTGCCGTGTACCCAGAGTCCCCACGAGATGGATGTGGAGTCCTCTTCGGCTTCGGCGGAAACTGCTCAAGCCTCTTATACGGCTAACAAGCCAATCGTTAGCCGCCACATGTGAACAATTTAGCACTAGCCAATCACGGGGAACAAATTTGCATACCGGTGGCGGGAACTCTTTTGCACCGTGCATTCCTCTTGCAACATGAGCAATGCACTCTGCAAAAGAAGCTGCAGAAAAGGCGGGAAACTCGTCCCTGCACCGGGGTTTCCTTTTGCTACAGGAAACTCTCCTGTGCAATGCTCTGCAACTTGACGGGGATAATTCTGGTGCCGAAGCGCGCGCACACAATCATGCCTTTTGGGTCATGACAGTATGTTTCATTAGCATACTTTCTTCTCACCTAGGGGTGTGATTTTTAGTATTTAAATTAGCTTTTTGCCCTAGTCCTCTGATTCTGTTTTTGTTTTTAAGCCTCCTTTATCTAAGACTGTCTCCTCCTTATCATTGCAGATGGGCATTAGTTATATAACAGAGACTTTTGCTTGGGCTTTGTATAGTGGTTTTTAGGTCAAACCTGACACTCCTAACCTGGCTTCTGGGGTGGGTACCCCTCTCGCCTACCCCAAGTTATTGAATTTACCTTACACATCATAAATAGCAAGTGCATTCTTACTTATCACAGCACATCATCATGAAACAATTTAGCATTATTTCTCTGAGAAACAAATCCAGTGTTACCTTATAGCAAGATAGGTTAGGAAGGGACCTCAGGAGCAGAGCTCTCTAACTCCTTGTTCTTAGCTTAACCTTAAGTTCCTACACTTTTTCTTTCTTGATCCTTGTGAGTCGTGCTCTTGCCCTTAAGCTTTGTCAAGGCGAGAGGAAGATGCTAAGTTAAAACTTGCACTGGGTTTCTTTGCTGTTTTTCTTACTTGCAGAGTTTTTTTTACATGTAAGTTGTTTTTTTTTTTGTTTTTGTTTCGTGATGACCTATAAATAGTGGCAGACATTATGACAACTCTGTGGACAGAGCAACTATTTGTGCAAGACAGCATCTCCTCTGAACACATTTTATGATTTCACTGCAGTGTCAGTTGAAACACTGTTTAACTTTTTAATCAGCCCTTTGTGCAGTGAAAAGGAAGTCTTCCCTACATGTGTTATTGCTTCATTGGATCTGGTGCACGTTCGGTTATCAAATGACTTCAGAATTCTGTAAGTGGAGCACTCGGGCTGTAAGTGGAGCGCTTGGGCTGCTACGGACATTAAATGCATCCAGTAAATATACGGCAGTGATTGCAATTTGTGTATGTAGGAAGCTAGTTCATTGTTGCATTGCCATCATAGCGGAAGTACATTTCTGGATTGTGGGAATCTGTAAACTTTTAGTGGCCTTCTGCTTTGGAAATTGATAGCTTGCAGGCATTGTAAAAGTTCCAGTTTCAGAACTGATAAAAGTCTAGTTTGCACACAAGGCTAGTGCATAATGATACTGCTGTTGATTAGTTTTACAGAGCTCCCCATCTCTAGGCGCAGTGATGATGACCCTTCAGAAGTGTTAATATAGGTATAGCTTATTATCCTTCCCATCCAGAAATATCTATTCTGTTACAAGGCACTTTTATACTGATATACCCGAGTCTTGATATGACTCCTGTTACATATGGCTACAGCACTGGAGCAGGGCACTCTAACCAAAATAGTTAAACCAGTACAAAATCTGTCTAGAATTGGCTTCAGACACTGAGGGAGCCAAATGCCCAAATCCTTTTATATGGGGAAAGTTGTGGGTTATGCTCTTTAGAGCAGTCTTCCTGTCTGGTCTTTCTACATGAGCTTTTTTAGCTAATTTCTTTTAAATGGCTTACTAAAGGGGCAGTTGGAAGGGGGGATTTCAGTGAGGAGAAAGGAGCACCCTTAGAGACTAGCTAAGAGTTTGTACAGGATGGAGCCAGGAGAGGCAGTGTTGCAAGGCTGGCAGAGCAGAGCACTGTGCAGTGAGAAGTAAAGGTGGCTAAGTAGCAAAAGGCAGGTGAAGGCCTTAAAGACCCTTGGAATTTGATACGGTAAATGGAGAATGACAGGATGGGACACCGTGAAAAGGGGTCTGCTGATGTAGGAGGTACTGGGAAGATGATCTTACTAACTATTTTGGGTGTGGTGTCATGCACTAGTCCTGTACCCTACCCGAGTGGCACTCTGATCCCCTTCCTATGTCTGATCTGTTGCTCTGCCTTGTGTTACCTGCCCCATCTGCTGCTGTGCTGTCTGTCTGCTCCCCTACCTGCTGTTGTGCCACACAGGCTGCTCATGTCACTTCTAGCACAGATGCTGCAGGTTGGCCACCCTGCACTAGATTATGACAAAAGAGAAGAGATGACACCATAATGCCAGGAGTTGTTGAGGTATGAGGTCTTGTCTTCACTACCAAAACATGTCTGCCAGGCTTTTACCTCAGGTTGAGAGATAAATGGTACTGCAATAATAAACTACCTTCGGGGCCAGAGTCCTATGTCTAGGACCCTTTTGCTCTTGGCAGTGGACTGACAGAGCAAAATGGAGGGGTTTCCACCCCAAAGAGCTTATAGTCTAACTTCAGGGCAGGAGCATCTGTTGATAGAAGAGCATGCAGAAACAGAAAGACGGTACCAGTCATTATGATAGGCAGTTCCTATGCCTAATCCAGGATGCATACAGCTTTTAGGTATATTCTCACTTGTAAAAGCCTGTCTTTTGAAAAGCTTGAGTAGGAAGGAGAAATAAATATTGAGAGCTAGCCTCTCTAGGTTCATCCCAAAATGAGAGGGCATCAACTTATTTCTCTTCTTGCAGAATCCAGCAGTTCAGAAGGATAGCTTTTTAATTTAGCCCCTCTTAGGCATTTGGATAGGTTTACATTACCCTGAATAGTAATGGCACTATTGGTTCTCAAAGTGGTGTGCATAATGAAGAGTTGGAATGATGGGAATGTCTTTAAAATTCATAAATCTTGCTTCTACTGCCTACTCAAAATAGTTGGCTGTCTTGCCCATCAAAAAGTGCTTTAGAGCCTGCTGGTGAACACTGGACACTAGTTGGAGAGCCAGTCATTTACATGAGCATCAGTAATTTATGCAAATCATCAATTTTAAGGGCATGTCTTTACTGTAGTATTAGATTCTGGTGTAATTTAAGTGCTCCTGACCCAACACCCATCTCTAGCTCAAGTCTGGCATTTTGAATTTGAGCTGGTTCATCAGAGGACATGGCAGAAGCTCAAACTAGTAATGAGGTGGGAAAGGGACTACACATTACTGCTTGAGTTGGCACAGTTTATGATTTGTCAATCCAACTATACCAAATTGTGACTGCTCTCAAGTAAGGTAACTCAAACGTGAGCTAATGTCTTACTATAGACAAGTCATTGACAGACCAGAGCTGGAACTGAAGTGTTTGGGTTTTCACTTTATTTTTAACCAATGTCCACAGGGATTCCAGAACATAAATCACTCTTGTGTCGCTTGATTGTGATCTTCGTATTCCCCACCATGGTGCATACATAAGTCAGAACTCATGCCCCAAGCAAACGGCTCAGCACCTGAATTTCCAAAGCATTTAAAAATCCTATGGAATCCCACAAATTCCAATATTGTGCGCTTTTTGCAATCTTCAGCCATGTTTTTTTTTTTTAAGTTCAGGAGAAGTTATTTCCTAGAACAACATGCATGACTGCCTGCTTGGAGGGGCAGATATCTTCAACTCTTGGGGCTGATTTACAAGAACCTGGGAGTGCTGCCTTGTGTGCAGGGCCTTCTAGCTCAGACAATTTGATGGTATTTGTTGAAATACAGTGTAGTAATTCTTAAACATGGTGCGTGGTTCTGTACTTTCAGGGACTGTTGAAGGGGTTAATGAACAGAACCTTAATGGGGGGAGCGGGGAATTGGAGGGAAATATGGAGCAGATAGAGCACTTGCCATCAGAGACTGCTTTAGTCAGTTGTGTGATTGCCTTTTGAGCAAAAACAAAAAAGAAAGATTGATGAAAGAAGGCATTAACACCTAACATAGAAATGCTCATCTCTTTTCTGTCCATTTGAGTTGAACAGCTCAACAATGAATAAGGGAAGGGAGTGAACACAGGCCCCCTGTCATACCTTGATGTCGGGGTGGGGGAAAAGGATTTGGTATGATGGAAAAGAGGGCACACAAAGGCATTGGCATGAAGAGAGATGTGCGGGGAGGGAGAATTACAGGCAATCACTGAAATAAAGAGGGTTGTGAGGGTAGCAACTTTGGAGAGTGGGTGGAGTCCCTGGTGCATGCTGGCAATGAATTTAGCCTACTAAAAACCACAAAGTGGGCAAACCCTTACTACCCACTAACCTACCAGTGCTAGTTACCAAGAGCATGGGCTGTGCTTCCAGCTCTGTATGCTGGATGGCTTCTACAAAAGAGGGTTTTTATCCAATATTTTGTTCTCTGTTCTCTATCAGGAATCATGAAGCCTTTCACAATTTACTTGTAGCTGAGATGTTTACAGTGGTGAATCTGAATGAGGAAAGGGCAAAGGTGTCTTCTCAAATTTCCTAATTCCTTTGAGGCCCCTTGCGGCAATGGTCCTATGTTCTTAAGGACACATTCCTGTGTGGCACTCCCACAAAGGACTTCTTCACCAGCAGGAAGACAACACACATCACTGTGCATCCCAGCACAACACCCACCACCAAGGCAGTGTGGTTGGTACCTGCAGGGAGAGGATGGAGGGGCAGAATATATTCAAGTCTCATGTGGAGGAAAACTATTGGAGATTTTAAGTGTTAAAAGTTGCTGGAGGAGTTGCCCCATGGAAAATGCTCCAAACCCCTTTTAAACACACAAGTGCTAGTCACTGGCTTATTTCTGTACCCTGGCCCTTCTACTGGAAAAGAGACCCATCAAGTAATCTGACACCAGGCTGTAATGCTCACATTGTATTTTTTAGGTTAATTTTGGTGTTCATGAAAGCAAGGCACCAGTTTCACTGGCTTGAGCTAAGAGTACCTGTATTTGTCTATGCTTTTTTTTTTTTTAAAGAACAGGTTCTTCTTTTTCTCCGCAGCAGAAGTTTACATATCTTTGCTTTTTTTGGTTTGCCAAAAGATGCCCTCCATGCCTCTTAAAAGGAAACCTAAAAAGGACTGTTTGCACGCTGAGGTTCCAAGCTCATAGAAGGAGCTCTCTATTGTTATGCTATGCACTGAATAAGTCCGAGTCACCCTGAACAGAGAACATCCGCATGCATTACCCCTGTTCTGCCAGTGAGGACATTTATTTCGTTTTGGCTGAAATTTGTTTCTGTTTTGGCAGTAGTGATCTCTGGAACCTTTACTCTTATTGTACGATGGAAGGGCAGCAGACCTCACTATGCACTGCGTGAGGGTTTATAAATGAAGCCTCTGTCACGCATCTTGGGATCGTGAGGCTGGGATATGTGAAAGAGGAAGTACAAAGGGATTTTACGCGGGCTCCACTCAGAGGTCCTATATGATATTGATTCCCTTCCATGCTGTAATGGCATGCTGTCAATTACTGTAACAGGGCAAAGTGATAGAGCTTCAGCATCCACATGTGGTAGAAACAATGTAGATGGAGTGACGTGCTTCTGCCCAGTATCAAGTGAGGGGTGGAGGTAGGGATGTGGTGTTATGCTTGGAGGCGGCTGCATTGTAGGAGACAATTGGGCAGGGACAGCACTGTAGCCAGAGGTGGCAGCACAGAGATGGGATTTGGACTACGGGGAGTGGATTGGTAAGAGAACAGTGTGGCAGGAGGGAGCAGTATGAAGATAGCATTGTGACTAGGGCTGGCATCATAATGAAAATATGAGCACAGAGGCAGCACTGCAGCTCAAGGTGGCAATGAGACATTGCTTTTGACAGCATCTCCCCCCAGTGACTAGAGATGGAATTGCAGATTCTGGGACTGCATGGTGACCAACAAACTGAGTTGGGTGTCCCAACAGAAGCTGTGTCAACAGGACAGTTATCCACTGGACATTCAATGGGAAGAAATGGAGTAAAGGGCTGGTTCCTGAGATCTTGTGAGGGGAGATGCTGGGCTTGCTATTTATACAAAGCACGAGTGTCAAACTCACCCAGCTGTGTGGGATGGGTTGGGACCACACTAGAGTTAGCATGCAGGGCTGATCCAAGATTATGCATGCAATGCATGTTTCTGATCCAGCTCTGCGTGCCACATGCAATATGTTGGCCCTACTCAAGGATTTGCACTGCATGCAGGCTGGACTCAGCACCACAGGCAGTGCACACAGCACAGAGGAGCCAGGATGAAGTATGTAGGCTGCATGCGGCAACTGTGTTAGACTGACCCTGTGTATTGGCTCTGGGGCCTGTCTTAATCAGGCACCAGACTGACTGTGTGTGCTGGAGCCAGCACACAGAGCCAGTCTGGTAGGGAGCTGCAGGGCTAGTGTGTGCTTCATGGAGCTGGACTGGCTGCATGAGCTACATATGGTGTGGAGGACCAACATGGGGCATGCTCTGGATGCAGTGCCTGGCCAGACTAATCCTGCACGTCACTCCATCTACATTGATTCTACCACATGTGAATGCTGAAGCTCTATCACTTTGCCTTGTTGCAGTGCCTGCAAGGCTGGGTCCAGCCTGTGCACCAGACTAGCTCTGTGCATTACATACAGGGCCAGTCTGAGACCTACAGGCCAGATCATAGGGCTCCACAGGCCATATGTTTGACACCCCAATAGAAACACAGGGTTGATTCTTTTTTTTTCTCTGTATTTTCCATTGTTAATGCTGTGGTTCTTTCCCCCTTATCAAGGCATTCCTTGCCTTATAAATAAGATCAGTGCCTACAAGAGGGGAAGCATTGCTTCTTCAGGTGCCCTTGGTAGATGGTGAAGTTTAAAAAGAAGCCTTACGTGTTGGAAACCCACTCTTGTTGCTGCTGACAATACCTAGCAGAATGGTTACATTTTTATTGGTCTGATATTAACATCTGCATAAGCTTAAAGAGATGAAGTTTTACCTAGAGGATTCTCAAGTGGAATCTAAAGAGAAAGGAAATCAATACAGCAGTTTATGATTCTTTGGTGTTAGTGGCATACAATAAGCATTGCCATCTCCCTTTGTGGTCTGGAGCTCTGCTGTAGTTCTGTCATGCAGTTCTTTGCTTCAGTGGCTGGATTGTTTCTCCTCTCACCCAAACCTTATGCCATAGCACTGTTGCCAGGCTTCACCAATACGTTAAAGTAATAGTTGGCTGCTGCATCCCTCTGTGGCTCTTGTGAATTACAAAGGTCAACCCGGACTAATCAAAATTAACTCAGACTTGATCCAGAAGCCTTCCCTGATGTATGCACCATCCTGAGGACCAGACACTCCATTGAGGGGGTTTTTAAACCAGCAGCAAGCAAAACAATTGCAGTTTACTCTGGCTTGTTGGAGCCTTTTGTCAGATAAGATGACTAACAGGCATGTGGGAAGTGTCTGGTACTACTCTCTCTACCAGCTTGGAGTCAGAAGTGCAACATGACAAAAAAACATCCTGTGCCTATTCTAATTTTCAGCATTGCAGACTTAACCTCATCAAGGAGCTGGGATTCACAAAATCATAGAAAAGAGGCCAGAAGGGCCCCCACAATCCATCCTCCCACCCCAAACAGGATTAAATTGTTCTTAAACCATTTCTAAACTGACCTGATAAACATTTGTCTAATCTGCTCTTAAAAATCTCCAGTAATGGAGATTCCCACACCCTCCATAGTTATTCTATTCCAGTGTCTAATTCTCTTCACAGTTAGAAAGTTTTCCCTAATGTCCAGCCAGAACCTTCCTGTTGCAGTTTCAGCCCATTATTTCTTGTCCTACCCCAGGGGGGACATGGAGAACAGTCTATAACCTTCCTCTGCAGTAACTTCACTTGAAGACTTACTGTGTGTCACCCTTTAGTCTCTTTTAAATGAAACAAACCCAGTTCTTTCACATCTTTCAATTGCATAACATTGAAGCAGTATGGTAATGTCAAATCACAAGTATCCAATGGCTAAAAAAAAAAGAAAAGGGAGGGGTGGGGATAGGGATCTCTTGACCAGACTCTCCAATCTATAAAAATCAGGACTGTCCAATCTCATTTTTTATTAACATTGGGACTACCTAATATTTGACAACTGGCAACCTCAACCTGATTTCCAGGGACTGTGCATCCTTCACTGGCTCCCCGTTACGGTGTATCTTGTTGCTTAGAGTTTACCCTAATAAGTGGCAGGGATAGCAAAACCTAAAGCAAACTGCTGCTTGTGCTGTCTATGGCAAAACCTTGTTCCATTGGGATAATATACCAGCCTGCTTCCAGCCTTCCCTCTTGTAGACTGGGTCAAACGCACCAGGAGTTTAATAACTTCTTACCACTGGAGGGGCTCTTGCTGATCCGGATGGGCCCAGCACTGATCTGATAGATCTTTGTCTCCAGCATCTTCCTCAGGGCATTGTGGCTTTTAAAGGACTTGCACCCTGAAGAACATAGCCTGAATTTGCTTGGGCTGCAGCATAGCTTCACATCACAAGTTACAAACACCTAGAAACAAGGACAGCAGATCTTGGTTAAGCTGTAATTCCTAGCACTGACTCAGTGTTTTACCAACCTGCCTCCTACATTGCTGCTTGGGATTTTAGATTATTTGTGCCCCTGTGGCAAAAATTTTTCCTTTCAGTGGATTGGCCACTGTGGATAGCCCTCTGTGGATTGGCCATCTGCCTTTCTCTCTGCTGCCTGCTCTTGAATTTGGGCTTTCATGAGGGAAAACAAGAGAGAACTTTAATGCAAATACAGGCTGTCTTCTTTTGAGCCAGCTTCACTAGTGAAGTTGTCTTTGCTTGTGTTTTTCTGAGCATGTGCAGGGTTGGCAGGGGCTTCTTGCACTGAATTTTCAGGAGACAGAAAATAGTTTCTCTTTCATGTCTCTAGCACATTTTGCAGAAGGAAGAAGGCAGGAGCCAGGCAACACATTGCTCAGAAGCACACTGAGAACATCCATGGTGCTACTGTATGCATGGATAAGTGTCTGTCAAGCACTCTGCATATGCAAGAAGAGGCACATACATGTGCTTTTTCAGGGAGGAAAATATTTGTTTTTAGGGGTAGGAGACGGATAGGAGGAGGTGTCCCTGTGTTTTCTGATGTGTTCATCTGGGCGTGGGGGAGAACAGAGAGAGCAAGTGGAACAGACTTGACTCAGAGATCTCTCATGCATGCCAAAATGTGGCTTCACTGAGATAGGAGGTGTAGCGAAGCAATGAAGCACCTCAGAAACCACGTCTGCTATGGAGGTGAGCCTGAGGCTGTAAACCTTGTCCTTGGAGTCTTCCAAACTCACTTCTTTGGCTGCCTTGTAATTCAAGCAACTGAAAGAGGAAAAATGCCTGTCAGTAATGTTGCTATCGCCAGGCCATTAACTTACTTTTTTCATATTTGTATATGCTTATGCAGTGATTACCACTAAACACCCAGGCTCCCATTCTCCACTGGAAGGAGTGTGTTTCAGGGGAGTTGCACACTAGTTGCAGTGCCAGTACCTTGGGACTGCCCTCCTCTACCGTGTTGGTCTGTGAGGATAGTCTCAGTGATGTCTGTCAGCAGGGTATAGCCTCTGGTCCCATCTCTGCTGCTCTGATGAAACCCTTCAACCAACGGGAGGTCAGCCTTTTTCATAGTAGAGTCAATTTTAGGCCTAGAGGGGCAGGTCAATCTGTGGTCCTTTCGGTTCTGGATTTCTCTAATGGGCCTGATGGGTAAGGGCAGTTTTGGGAGCTACAGATGGACTGGAACAGAAACCACCAGTTCTTTTCACTGGACGGCTATGAAAGGGTCATGGAGACTCAGGCACTTAGCAAGGCTAGATTTGATGTGATCTGGAGGCAAAAGGCTCTTACCCTTGTTGTATGATGAAGAAGCCACTGGAAGAGTCCTGGTTGCCCAGAACCTGACAGGACTGCACAATCAAGTGGGCATCAGCCAGGTCACTCTTAGCTGACACGCTGATAAATAGCTGGTCATTGACACTGGCATTAATAGAAGCCCCCCGCTCCAGCAGTCTCATCCCATCTGAGGTCTTTCTGCTGAA